GCTCCGCACTGAGGCCGAGCGCAGGGGAGGGCTGGAGACATTCCGCGCTCACCCCCCCAGGGGGCGGGCACACGCCGGAGGCCCGCCCCTCCGCCAGCTCCGATTGGCTCTCGTCCTTCACCTCGCTTCTGATTGGATAAGGGGGCAGTCAAAATTTCTCTCCGCTCCGGGGGCTCTGGGAGGGCGGCGGGGAGAGAAGTAGTTCTGAAGTGCGGAGCAGAGGGGCCGGGCCAGACCACCCCTTTTCCCCCGCAGCCTGCTGCGCCCGAGTTCGGAGCTCGCGGCCGGGCCGGGGCTCCGATCGGGCCGGCTGAGGCCAGCTTCATCCCACTCCTAAACGTGCTCGAAACTTTCCACGACTGGCTGCTACTCAGAGGGGAAGTGTTTTGGAAAAAATGAGCAAAATCCTTTCAGCTATGCGACTTAAGCCATTTAGTGGGTTGGAGTTTCCGCAGCCTGCTGCGCCCGAGTTCGGAGCTCGCGGCCGGGCCGGGGCTCCGATCGGGCCGGCTGAGGCCAGCTTCATCCCACTCCTAAACGTGCTCGAAACTTTCCACGACTGGCTGCTACTCAGAGGGGAAGTGTTTTGGAAAAAATGAGCAAAATCCTTTCAGCTATGCGACTTAAGCCATTTAGTGGGTTGGAGTTTGAGAAAGACCAAAAGAGAAGAATTCAAGAAAAAAAACTTCTTTTTGAAAAAATAATTTAGTAGTACATGTTTGCAGTAATAGTGATTATATTTATCTTAGAGAGTTGCTATACGCACATAACAAATCGTTAATTCTTTTTACTTCTCCGTCCTCCAGCTCTAGATCTTCCCATTTTCAAAAGATCTACAGTATCTCATTCCTATTATCTAGACTTTGTCTCTAATAATGTGAAATACACAGCAACGCTCAGGAAATATTTTCGAACAGTGATCCCATTAATGCTAGTTTGCTTGAAAGTAAAACTGTAGATGCTTTTCGGATTTAAAAGCTGCTTCCTTGTTTTAAAATAGAAGCATCAGAGAACTGGTTCTCTAAATCCTTTCAACCTGGTATTACTTTAGTCATTCACTCCTTTGCACCTGTGGAAAAAGAGCCAAGGATCGGGTAAACTGAGTTATTCCGCGAAACTACATATATTTTCCACTCCAGAATGAAAATGTTTTCCGATGATTTCCTGAAGTAATTATGTTTAAACGCTTACATCCACAAAGGTTAACCAGGTGACTTTTATGAAACTGGAAGGGTATGTGCCAGATGAGTTATTATTAATTTATCACTAGATTTACTAACCTAATGAATCTTAAAATACTGCACCACATTAATAATTAGAGAATTTGGCTGTGCCTACAGGTTATGTGACCTTTGGCATGTGGCAGCCTTGCCATGTTTAAGTTGTTTTCTCTGTTCTTTAACTGAGAGAACCTGGAAAAAGTGATCATGTGTGAAATACTTAATCACCTTTCTTTAAAAAGGCAGGTAAGATAATTACAAATTACTTGGTGGCACAAAAATTCTGAGTCAAAGTAATGATATATTCAGGAGAAGGAACATTAAGTTTTGGAGAGGAAGTAACAAATACTATTGTATAACCTTTTCGGTCTGACTTATCAATGACTTAACCAAGCCTTGATGTTATCAGTCTCTAAGATACAGCTAATTATTATTTGACCTCTTTCTCAACCATATCCAAACTACTGAAAATCTATGGTATTCCTCTCAGTTTTCTTAATTTCTAATTTTCCTGTAAAATTCTTCTGGTGTTTAAATGCCTTGCAGTACATGTAACAGACATAGAAAGGAAACTAATTAGAGATTACTTTCTAACTTCTACTTTCAAAGATGAACAGGTGAGAAGCGACAAACGTTACTCTAAACATTTACAGGAATTAAAAGTCCACTGATATTTAATTCCTTTTTTTTTGAGAAGGCTAGTGAAAAGTTCTAGACAGCAAATTGAAACTACTAAACAATAAAAAAGTGACAAGCTTTCATTTGATTCATTTTTTCGTCTTATATAGCTTTTATCTTTAATAATGTTTTAATTATACAATTTTGGAAGTATGAACCTGAATTTAAATATGTTAAATTTAATCATATCATATGAAAGAAATTATCACCATCAAAACATCTTCTACATATGCAATAATCCACCAAAATACATGAGGACAAGGCTTCCAGATTAGCACATGGCGGGGTTGTCGGAGCTACTCTTTGACTTCCTGTTTGCTGGACAGGGTCAGCTGTCCTAGCCCCACAGCTAGAGTGAGTCTGTCGAGCACCAGGAGAAAAATTGGAATTTGTACATTTTATTTCTTTTTGAACTTGAAGAATGGCTCTTGAGCTTCTACATTCTTTCAGGGATTAGGAAAAGCTAATGTTTCAAGATCATACCATGACCCCTATATACATTTCTGACCTTGCTTTTCACAAAAACTGGAAGATTATTTGTTGACTTAGTGGTAAACAGAAGGTAATTTTCCTTTGACTAATGGCTTAAAAGAATTGTCTAAGTCTTTTTTCATTTGAAATCCAGTTTGGAAACTAAAAGATTCAGGAAACCCTAAAAAAGCTTCTGCTGCTACTTCCCTTTCTTCTGATCATTTCCTGCTTTTAGCTAGCTAACTTGGGCCTTACTGATAAAGCTCGCAAAACAGGACTTATTTTTCCAATGCTGAATTTAGATCTACGCTAAAGCAAGTATATATAAATCTCTTGTAGCCAGCCGTGGTAGCACACACTTGTAATCCCAGTGCTGGGAAGGCCAAAGCAGGATAGCCATGCATTCAAGACTAGCACTGGCTACATAGGGAGTTCAGGGAAGCCTGAAGTATATATTGAAAACCTGTCTCAAAAAGAAAAAAGGAAGAAAACACACAAAAAAAACAGTCATCCAGAGAATGGGATAATATTGGTACCTATTTCATAAGGTTGCTTTGAGGATTAAATCAGTGACACATGTGAGCACTTATACCACTTGTGGATAAAAGAATTTGTTGTCGATATAATTGACAACAGTTGTGACTGTTATGGCTCGTGTCTAGATGTCACCCCCAAATCTCACGAAGTTACAGGCTTTTTCAGGGGTGGCTGGATCTAGAATGTGTGATGCTGAGATTAAGGGTGTGTGATTCCTAAAGTAACCCACTGATTAGTTTGACACCTGCCCTAAACCAGGTAGTCTAGATAGGATATAAAAGGGGCAGAAAGACGCTGCTATTGTCACTTGTGGAGTATTGCTGCTGCCTGTCTTTTGCCTTGTGACGCCCCTCTGCCATGCCACCCTGCCTTGGAGCCTGCCAATTATGGGCTGAAACCTCTACCAAGTGTGAGCTAAAGAGATCTGTCCTCCTTCAACTTTGGATGTCGGGTATTTTGTCTCAGCCAAGAGAAAAGTAGCTAAGACAGTGACCATTATTGAAACGCCAAACTGGGAATTGTTTTAAACCATCCCATCATCAAAAACCATATAAAGAGTAGCTAGCAGTGAGATTATTCACTTCACTTTTAGAAAACAAACCAATAATTTCCCAAGTTTCGTGAAATAGAAAGGGACTGTGCCAAAGATAGATGGTAAAGACACTCGATGTCCAAGGTGCCAGCTATGTAAGATAACTTTTTAAAAATACTTTACCTTTCTCCCAACACAAGCAAGGACATGCCCCTAGGCATCCCTCCCCCAGTGTGGGCAGGCAGGCTTGCACCAGAGCTGTGGTGACCCTCCGCTGAGGAAAGCAAGGTTGTCAGCCGACCAGCCCATACTGGACCCACCCTAACCCTCCCCCAAAGCGGGCAGGCAGGTCCCTGCAGGACAATGGTGACTCCACTGCCACCCCAAAGTAGGGCCATCCACTAACTCTAAGCTGGCTTCACATTTTGCTGGACTAACCAAAAAAGATGATGCCCAGGTAGAGAAAGGAACCACCAGACCCTGCAAATGTCGACATTAAATCACCCTGGTCCTCTTGAACCCCCGCCCCTGCAGCAGAGACCAGAGGGACAGCCGTGTTTCCCATTTTCCCATAGGAGCAAGGACATGCCCTGGCTTAGCCAGTCATCGCAGTCTGGGGTGAACAGACAGAGAGGCCTCGAGTGCAGGGAGGACACCTCAAAAACACATAGGCCCCAAGGGTAGGTGGGGAATAGCAAGATTGGATGAATCTGAAGACTGCCAATCTTGGAAAGAAACCACTTATCCAAAGACACAAGAATCTTTTCTTTGACTCAATCTTTAAAATTTATTTTAAATTTTAAAATAGTTTTATCTGTTTTTCATTGGGTCTTGGAGGGATTTGGTTCTGTTTCTCCCCCTTCCCCCCCCCCTTTTAATTTCTTTTCTCTCCTTTCAATTTTTTTCTCTTTCTTATCTTTTCTTTCTTGTATTTTTGCTCTCTGTTTATCTTTATTCTTCTTTTACTCATTTATTCTTTCCTGTGACTATTCTCTGACACCAGTAATCTCAGTAAGACCTTCTCCATTCTCCTCCTCCTCATGTCCCATTGATTAATTTCTCAAATTTTGCTTTTTTTCTCCCACTCCACTTTTACTAGTATAACTACGAAGCTTTATGAATCTCTATATAGCTAATTAACTTTACAATATTGCTGTTGAATACTTTTCTATGGTTAGTAGAGATATAAATCTTTATAGACCTCTTTTCTATAAGGGTGGTACATTATTTGTTGTTCAGGTTTGTTAATACTTAGTTTGTATTTGATGCTATCATTGAGGCTGATTTAATTATTATGGCCAAGGTGAAAAAACTGTTGCTACTTATGGTTCTTTGTGGACGACAATGTCTGTATTGCCTTAGGATCATTAATAACACCGAGGCCCATTCCTGGAGAACTGCATCCTGGGCCAGATACGCTGCACCCTCCCATCTCTATAAACAGAAGTGGTTGGATACTGGGACAGAGGCAAAGGCCAATAGGCAGCTATTCCTAGAGGACACCACTGAAAAGTAGATATCAACTAAAGAGGTCTGCACAGTAGAAACAAAGCTTTCCATTACAATCAACCCTCAAGCCTTAACATAAAAACAAACAAATGGACAAACAAACAAACACAAACATGAGAATACAAGCCAGAAAATTACTTCCAGAAACTCCCAACTCCACCAGAGCTGATCCCTGGGGCATTGAAGGGGAGGAAATCAAAAGCCAAACAGATTATTCAAAACAGTATCAGGGTAGATAACAAAACATTAACAAGGCATTTGGCAAGCTTACAGAAGACGTACCTACTAAGATATTGGCCAAATAACACAATCAGTGAGTCTATGGAAGAAACTAATAAAAACATACAAGAGCTAAACAAAATGATGTAAAACATGCAAG